CCGGCCCTTAGGATTCCACCCAGGCCGGTCACTTATCAGAGGCCCTTCATGTCAGGTGTTTACAATTCCCAACAACAGCAAAATTACAGTTGTGAAGTAGCAATAAAAATCATTTTATGGTTGGAGTCACCACAGCATGAGGGACTGTATTAAAGGGTGGCAGCTTTAGGGAGGTTGAGGACCACTGTCCTAGAACATGATGGATGGCGACAAAGTTGTTTGTGTTTTCCCTTCCATCACTCACGAGTGTATTGCTGGTGTTCCTGTTTATTGAAAGGATGAATTTCAGCTTTCTATCCTAAAGATAATGCATCCAGCTTGTGTAGTTTACTGTGCACAAAGGAAATTCCCAAAGATTCTCTGGTATCCTTGGCTTACTTAGTAAGGCAGAGGGAAGGAGGTTGATCTTAGCAAAGATAGGAGCTGCCTTTTCACAGGAAGGGTTTGGTTCAGTGTTGCTCTGATGCAACTTCTGATGCTATCAGCTTGCTAAACTTCAACTCTGCATGTAGAGCAAAGGCCATGGAGCAGACGTGGAGGCCGTTGTCACCCTGGACATCTCCATTGTCCGGGGAGTACCATAGTCCCTCAGAGTCAAGTAACTGTCAGGCGTGTCAGAGTTTGTTGTTTTTGTCAAAAGCTCAGGAGCTAGCCTGGCAGCGTGTTCAGCCCTGCCAGGGTAACAGAACTTTCCGAGGATCCACTGTAGTTAAAGGAATGCAAGATTTCAAAACAGAATCGTCAAAAAAGGAAATGCCAGTGTCTTGATGGTTTCTCTAGCATATGAGGTCAATGACCCATAGTGATGAATGTTTTTCAAGTGTTTTTCTATTCTTGAGGAACAAAGAATAGGAAAATTTTAGTGAACTTCATTACAAGGTCTTCCTTAGGGTCAGTTAGAATGTATGTAGCACATTCCTTTGCTTCTATCATAGTGCCTATTAATGCTAATACTTCCAGCATTTCACTGTGGCTTTTTTTTTTTTTTTTTTTTTTTTTTTTTAATTAGACACTTCATTTAAACAGGAAAGGAGAGGAAGTTCATGGTATGGCTTGATCATCTGTTGAGAACAGGTCCGGAACTTTCTGTCCTGTTAAATACTCAAGAGGGAAGCATTACTATCCCCGTTTGTGAGATCACTGTAAGGGCATACCCACAGCAGCATTCCCACAAATGGCAGGCCCTTCTGTGTGGCGTCTGCCTGAGTGTGTGTGACTCTAAACATCTTGCTTCTGCTTCATCCACAACTGCACTGAGTCCGGTGTGCCGTCAGGCCACCTCTTCATCCTGTCACAGGTTCAGTTGCTTGTCTGTCCAGAACAAATCCTTTACTTGGGACAGCTCAGCTTGGCTGAGACAACTCAGTGGTGCAGCCCAGTCTGACAGGAGTGCGTTCTGCCATGGAGAAAAAGCAAAAGAGAAAGAAAGGAAAGTGTTTCAATACAATAAAGACAGAAGTCGTAACTGACATGACATGAGGTCGGACCACCACAAGAAAGGTGGGCGCAAAAAAAGTGATAGTCCGTCAGGGTGGCAGCAGACTGGACTGACTTTGACCTGGATTTAACCTGCGGATGATAAACCTTCATGTCTCCCACCTCAGTTGTACCACGACCCCTTTTATTTGCAAGTGTTGAATATGTGTGCAATTATAGAAAATTTGGAAACTACGGAAAACTGCAACAAACAACGACAAACAGGCTTACTCCCTAACATTAACCCCCAAACATAAGCACCGGAAATGCTTTGGCAAAGCTGTCTTGTAGTTTTATGTAGTTCAGAAGTACTTTCTCTTGTTTTTCGCTTACCTTTCACTTACCTCTATAAGTGTTCCTTCCACTTATTTTATTTCTTTCACTGTGATAATATGTACATAAAACTTATCATTTTAACCGTCTTCTAATTTCCATAGAACTGAGTATATTCAGTTAGGCAACCGTCACCATTATTCATTTCTGGAACTTTTGATTATCCATAGTCTATATCTGTGAAAAGCACTTCCCAAACCACACTTTCCTTTTAAGGCCATATTTACAGAGGAAAACAGTGTGGACATGTAGGTCGGGGGGGGGGGGGGAGCGCGTTTGCCTGACACGGAAAAGGCCCTCAGCTCAATCCACAGGTTCTCACATACTTGGGGTGTTAGACATGGAGCCATCATCCTCCCTTCTCTATAATGACACTAGCCACAGAACCCAGGGTGGTGAAGGTAAGAATTAGGGAAAGGGCCTGGCATTCATTTGGTCTGAGGCTGTGAGCCCCGTGTCAAGGGTTGAAAAGTTCTAGACAATTTCTGTAATTCAGATGAGTCTCATGGCCTCATGGCTGGGAAAACATGTTGAATTAATGGAGCTCGTCTTTTCTTCAGTCGTTTTAGTTTGCCAGGGCAACCATCAGAACATCACAGGGTGCGTCGTTAAACAACAGATGTTTATTTTCTCACAGGTCTGGAAGGCCTAGGTCAGGGCGTCAGTGTTCCTGGTCTCCCAAGCTCGGCATTCCTGCTTGCACGCAGCTGCTCTCTCTTGTGTCCCTGGACACACCTGGAATGTCCTTCTGCAGCCAGAATTCTTCTGATCAGGATACCAGTCTGATTGGATTAGGCGCCACCCTAATAGCTTCATGTTAATTTACATAATCATTTCCTTAAAGGCCTCATCTTCAGATAGTCACCTCCAAAGGAGCCCAGTGTTAGGTCTTGGACAGAGGGATTTTAAAGAGTCACAGTTTCCTAAACATCTGTTTAGAATGGCATTGTTTTGTTTTCATATGGGGAGATTAGTATAAAGAAAAATAGCACTCTGCCATGTTTGTATCTGTTATTAAAGGGGGAGGGGACAAGTAGATGAAAAGACAGTTCATACTGCTTGGAAGGATATTAAAAGAAAAGTAACATTCTCCTAACCATCTTCTGGCAAGTAACTTCTTTGACATTTGCACTTGTTGGTTTTTTTGTTTTGTTTTGTTTTGTTTTGTTTTTTGTTTTTTTTTTTTACATCAGTGCTGGGTGCAGTTCTCTCCATGTGTTAATGTGTCAGGGAGGCATCCATTCACTGACTGTCCTGAAATGCTATGTATTGTGTGTGTGTGTGTGTGTGTGTGTGTGTGTGTGTGTTTAGTTTGGTTCGCTATTATTAGGCATTCAGGCTGTTTCCAGGGCCACCCCTACTCCTAACTCCCAAAGTAGAGTTAAAGCCTGAGATGGAAAGAGATGCTTAATAAGGCAGTAGTAGGCCTCTGCTTTTGGTGAAAACAGGCTTTGTTTTTCATCTTCCTGTTTATTGTTGGTTAGAACTATGTGAAAAGTCTTTCAGGCTCTCCCAAGAGGCCCGTATTACGCAGGGATTTTCCTTGGCCACTGAGGTCATCTCAGCCCTCAGCCTGCCCAGGGATAGGGGTCTGTCTGAGTCATTAATTAGCAGGAGTGCCCACTTTCAGTGAAGGAGCCTTTCTTATAAGAATGGCTGTTGCGCGTGACTCCTTTCTGCCTGCACCCAGCCTCTGGCAAGGTGGCAAGGGGCCAGCCTTCTAATGGAATGGGAGCAGTCTTACTTCATCAAGATCTCAGGGGAAGCCAGGATGGCCAACCGCTCCTGAGGTTAGCAGGCCCTGTAAGCCAGACACTGTGGCTTGGATGCTAACGGTGGAGCAGGGTTTGGTTTGGGGTTTCCTACCTTAGCATCTTAGCCTTCTGTGTCACCTGCCATTATTTTATAAGCCGTACCTCAGTGCAGAGACACTCTTTTGTTTTCTGGAAATAAAGCTGTCTCTTAGAGGTGTTCTTTTCCAGGCCCCTGGAAAAAGAACATTCGTTTCTCACTTGGGACTTCTAAAACACACACCGGCAGTGTCTTCTGCACCGAGCTGTGAGAGGGGCTAGCAGAGAATAGCCCTCTTCTAAAGCCACCTTTAGCTCCCTGCGCAGCCCCAAGGAGGCCCTGAGGTGGCTTGTGTCTCCACCTGAGCTTTACTGCTGCTGAGGCTCTAATTTTGTGATGCTATGGACATGTGTGGATGGGCTTGGGTGCGGGGAACATGTAATTCTGCAGAGATTTAAAGGTTGTCTGTGATGTTTCTAATTACTGTTTGTTTGGTTCGGCCTAATAAGTAACCTCAGGAGTTGAGGAATGCGATGCTCATGTTACAGGCAACCATGCAAATCAAATTCTAACCAAGGAGTCCAGCGAACACTCTGCAGGGTCATTGTTAGAGAAGTGTGCCGTTGGGTTTCAAGTTTAGAACAAGAGCAGTCTGGAACTTCCCCACCTGTCAGGCACTAACATGAAGGACACACACACCTGAAATCAACTACTGTGTGCAAACCCATTTAGAAGTGGCCAGTGACCTCTGGCATTCGGTTTTCTTTTTAATTTAACTGGAAATGAGGGAGGGAGAGACTTACTGGCTTCTCTTTCCTTTCTTTTCCATCATTGCTTTTATAGGAAACCAAAGTACAGGCCCGGAACAGTGGGTGTCAACCTTGGATACAGCTTGGTACCGGCTTTGGGTTCTTCAGATGGCAGATATCTGATTCTCACCCCTGGGGTGCTGGCTTAATTGTCAAGGTTGGCGTCTACCCTGGGCTTTTAAGAGGTCCCCAAGGGGAGTGTTGTATACCAAGGCTAGGGCTCCAGGGATGTGAGAGGTTGGTTCATGAGATAAATCTCAGGCCAGGTCACACACAGCAGGCACCTGGAGGTTTTGGAGAACCATCGATGCCCACTCAGTAAACCTCATTTCTGAAGGAGGGAACAGGATTTCTGAACAGCTCCCGGACAGTTCTGATGTGCAGCAAGAGTCTGGCCAAGTGATTAACTCACCTAACCATGCCCTATCATAAGAAAAAGCAATACCCAGGAACGTGGAATGGTTGGTCAAGGTCAGACTCGTGCTACAGAGGTCGGGGACTCAGATATGATGCCTCTCTGGGCTTTCTGTTTGCCTGACGTCAGCCCTTATGTTTGTTTATTGTATTTATTGATACCTCCTCATCCTTCAGGTGATGTTCCTGACTCCAGGAGGCCTTTTCTGGCTCCTCATACTCTTCTACCATCCGGTCTGGGTAAGATCCCCTTGGTTGTGTGTGAAGAGCACTTTTATGTAGGTTTCCCCTCACTTGATCAGTTCTGAAGAAAAGCCCATAACGTTCTCGTCCGTTTCATAACTTGATGGTATGTGCTAGGCCCTAGGTACCATTTGTTGGATTGTAGTTCCCTAACTTTCCGTTAATCCATCAGTCCACATGGCTTGCTAAAAATAACTGGATTCTGTGTACTAGCTCTGACAGCTAAGTGCATTTCCTGTGGCCTAGTGCATTCTGGTCAGGATCTTGTGGGAAAAGAATGTTTGGCAAGGCACTGTTAATGGCGGTCTAATGAAAACAAGACTTTGGTGACCTTGCATGTTGCTCAGGGTGCTTTGAATGCCATGCAGCAGTCAGGGTGCTGACGTGACGAAAGGGAGCCTGTGGCCCTTCAGTAGGCTGAAGGTTGTCTGATGGAAACAGTGTTTCATGGAAATGTGCTTTGAATCATCTTTATGTTCTTGCTTAATAAGTAACTCTGAGCAGCCACAGGCCAAATAGCTGAGTTCAAATTTTTGGTTTCACGTATGCAAGTTACCTCAAATTGATGAAAACAATGTGTTTTCCTCTGTCATCCTAAATATGTTTTTTATTGGGAAAGCATGGCCAGAGCTGTGTGCGTGTGTGTCCTGGTTGTGGCTCAGTAGCCCGTAGGTGGCTGTGAAGCTCACTGTAGATGCCAGGTGAAGGAATGGTGGTCATGGGAGGAAGATTCAGACGTACACTGCCGTGGAACCAGGTCTGCTAACTGGGCAGCGTCCTGCGGACCCTGGATGTTACGGTGTTGAGGAACGATGGCCGAAGTGCTCGGGGCTGCTTCGGAATCTCCGGAACACATTTCACAGGTTCACTGTCAGCAGGGACCGTCACATCCCGAGGCGTGTGGAGTCAAAACCACCGCGCATTAGGACAACTAGGAAACTCGTCCAAAACAAGTCCTCCTGAAGATGTCAGGGAAGAGAAAACGGATTTAGGTGGAGATAAATGTAAAATATATTTGCTCGGTTATTTTCTGGGACAGGTTTCCACGCAGCAGGCTGGCCTTGAATTCACTGTCTCCAGGATGTCCCTTAGCAGCTGAGCTTCCTGTCCCCACCCTCCTCACTACAGGCGTGTAGGCCGTCACATTCACCTCCACGTGTAGAACATTTTCATAGCGGGTAGTTTTACCATACCATACAAACTGCATTTTAAAAATCACCTTTAAAACAAAAATCTCAAGAACAATTTCTGTCATATTATTATTATTTACATTTTTTGGATGAAAAATTTTAACAGGCCAGTTAAAAGCCTATTGATGAGTACCTATGGCTGTCTGAACTTCAGAGGCATGGCAGTATATTCTCGAAATGTCAGGACTGGAATTTGAACCCCAAGTCTTTCTGGTTTCTGGTTCCCGTATCTTTGGCCCGGTGTTGAGGTCTCCAAATGAGATTGCTTATTAAGTGTGAGCATTAGCCATGCTGGTGGGAGAGCCCTTGCTTTAGCTTCTTAGAACTTCTGTTAAGCCTTGTAAAGTTGCTGAAAGGACAGTTACTTGTGAAGTGTGGAGAAATGGGAGCACACACACACACACACACATACACACACACACGTAAATTGTTGAGCTGTTGTGACAATAGCACAGTGGTTTATGAAAAAGTTAAGAGCAGATCTGGTGGACTATCGGCCCTGCTTCTATTACACACCCGGAGGAAATAAATCAGCATCTGCCTCTCCGTAGCCCAAATATGGAAAGACCTGTCCGTTATTGATGAACAGATAAAGAAATTATGGGATGTGTATGCATGTGTGTGTATGTGTGCACACACCTGTGGGTATTATTCAGCCATAAAAAGAAGGATTTGTGTCAGGTCTAACTCTAGAAGACATCATGCTAAGTAAAATAAGGCCGAGAAGAAAGCCAGGTACTGCTTACATGTGGAATCTGAAAATGTCAAGCTCATGGAAGCAGATTACTGAACAGTGGTTGTCGGGGCCTGGAGGAGGGGAAATGGACAGCCGGTGAGCAAACAGTTCCTAAAGCCAAGGTATGTGAGTTCGAAGGCTCAGGTACACAGCAGCGTGGGCGGTTGTGTGTGGTAATGAACTTGACGGAGGTGATCTGCGCACAGCGTCTGTGTGCAGCCAAGCCACTACGTCCCGTGAACCTGCCCAGTCTTGGCCAGTGACATATTTTAAAATGGCCACTTTCGATAGGAGGTCACAGCTTCAGAATTTTGTGATCTGATTCTCAGGTGCATTTGGTTTGGAAGAATCAGGTGAGCAAAATGGTTCATGGATTTGAGAATCCTGTCTCTGCCACGTGCTACCTATGTGACTGTCAACAAATCTTTACACACACACACACACACAACCCGTGTTAGCTTCGGTATCAGTCAAAGGAGACCTTATAGCTTCATTGCCCTCATTGCTTTCCCATGGTCCCTGAGTTAGAAAAATATAGCAGCCTATAAAATGGTTCTGCCCTCTGCTCACAAACCTTGTTTTCTCTGCCAGGACACTGTCTACTTCCCGCTTGGGAAGCTTGCCCATCAGAGCCCTTTGCAGGTCACAGGTGGGTCACGGGAGTTCCTGGTTGCTTCCTGGAGACCTCTTACTCAGCTTGGCAGGATGGGTCACCCTTGAGAACCAGCAGTCTGGATATTCAGGTCCTCTGAGCACACCTCTAGTTAGGAAAGCTGGGTGGAGTCCCGTTGCCGCATACTGAGTCACAGGTGTTCCCGAGGCACTCAGGCTTCTCCAGTGTGTCACCTTCCTAAAGCGCTTCGTTTCCCTTCTTTTCCGGGATGCTGCTTCACTGAAATCCTGCTTAGGGCCCACTTCCTTCTTGGAATTGTTTTCCAATTAGTCCTCCCAGCTCCTGCTGTCCGTTCTTTGGTCCTTTGCTGGCATTTCCTTCATTGTACTTCCTCTAGTATGTTGACTCTCCCCCGCCCCCTTCCCTTTTCTCTACATACTATAATGTGCCATATGCAGGCTTCAGTTATTACAACACTTAAAAAAATACAAAACTATTTCACGTTTCAAACTCTCCATCTGCCTGCTTCTCGGAGGACGAAGTCTAGATTTGTTTCATGCCTCACCTGTTCCATCCTGCCTCTTATTCGGGTACCTTCCCCATCCTCGGATGATATCGCCGCCTAGCTATTTCCAGAGTTCAAATGTTATCCACATGGCCGGGGAACCAGCCTTGGTTTCCTCTTTGTTGTCTTCATTCCCTCCAGTGCTTGGGTTCTCCTTTCAAAGTGATCTTGAGTCTATCTTTTCCGCCTTCACTTTGCTCAACCTTGTCACCTGCCCTCAACGGTAGTCTACCGACTGGCGTGTGACCCCTTACCCCCTACATCCCACTCTTGTATCAGAGAGCTCTGTGATGCTGGGGTGTCCCGCTGTTTGCCTCGCAGTGTGCTTGTCATTGGGGTCCATCTGGACTCTTCCACCTCGATTTGTTCCTCTTCTCTGCCTTCCTTTGGGGTGCAGGCTCTCCCTCTCATTTTCTTTTAGTCCGGGTGACTGACCCCATGGCATTGTCTTGCGCACACCAAAACATTTCCTGCGATGGCACTGGTCAGTCTTCCCTCTTCCCCTGAAGCTTCCTATTGCACAGTCAGCTTGTGTCTCATCCTCTCAGGTCTCAGGTCTCATTCCTCAGGGCGTCTCCTCCCACCACCCTGCCCCAAATAGTTGTCTATGGTGTTTGTTATCTGCCATAGCAGCCTGCTTATTTCCTCCCCTTCGGAAAGCAGAGTAAGTTACTTTGGAAGTGCGTACACCAGGCTCTGATTGCAGATTCCAAGCTCCCCCCCAAAAGAGCATTTTTATGGTTTGCACACTGATACCTGTTGCAGCACAGTGCCGGACGCACTGGAGGCGCTGGGTATCATGGGTATCATGTTTGGAATGAGCGTGCCCTCCTTCTATTCTCTTATTTTATCTTATTTTCAGGCTTGGTGATCCAGCTTAGAATGTGTGTCTGTTCATCAGGTGCTCCAGCACTGAACTCTTCCTTTTCGGGAAAACCAGTTTGTTTCTTTGTTTGTTTATTCTGTGTGCCCATAGACATGCCTGCGTGAGTTTATTTGTGCCATGTGTGTGCAGGGACCAGCGGAGGCCGGAAGAGGGCATCAGTGTCTCCTGGAACTGGAGTTACAGGCCGTTAGGACTTGCCATGTGGGAATTGCATATGCATTTCTAGTCAACACACTGAAATTGTAGTTTATCTGTTTCTTAGTTTTAGGCATTATCCTTTGGTGCAAGGATTTAGTTTGCTTTTATCTCTCCCTGCCCCTTGTTTCTCAGATCTTATTCTGCCAACCAAAATCATATGGTAATTGTACTGTAATTTGGGTGGGATCAATATCCAGTGTTTACTTTATTGCAACTGTGGAATCTCACAGGTGAGCCATTTAATATAGTTTGATTTACCTTTTTCTCTCGAGATTAGATTGACTTTATTGACAATATTGACTTTTTTATTCTTAATTTTTGATATAGTTATGAATAATTCAGCCACAAATTCCTTACCAATTGTAAATCTCCTTTCAACATAACCAGCCACACAGGGAATCTGTCAAGGTCATCTTTGAGGAAGAGCCACTGGAATCTTCTATTCCTCTCAGGGTGGAGAATGGTTTCCACTGAGCACCACTCTGCCAGCTCCTTTAGGCTCTGTCTTGTATGAGGGCCCCACTATGTATTTCATGAACACATTTTCCAGTGCCTCCCAGAGAAAGGTGGGAATTCCAGAGAGGAGAGACACAAGTCTGAGAATGTCTTCATCTTCCTGGATTTTAAGTGGTGACTTAGTTAAATGTATGCATTCAGGGCGGAAGTCATCTGCCTTCCAAATTTTGACACCTTCCATCCAAAAGTGTCTTGAGCTATTTCTTGAAAAGCTTCAGACATTAGGTTCTGACTTTGAATCTCTTGTATGAAAAACTTTCCTCTGGAATTTTGAGAATTTTGATTCTTTTTGA